TGTGAGCCGTTTAATCAGTTCATTTGTAGCTTGAATCCACATATGACATGGAGTGCGGTGAGGCAGAGAGTTTTCGGCAGTTGTTTAATGGTTTTCTCTCCCTAGCGCTCCAAGTACCTCCTTAGAAGGTATTTGGACCCTCTAAGCCCACCCCAAACCTTCTAAGAAGGTCCTTGGAGCCCTAGGGTCTATGATTATGCAAGAATTTAGGATCGATCAAGAAGTTGTTTTTGAGATCGATCCCAAGCTTGTCCCAGCCCCGACCCACGGCGTCCCCGACTTTTGGGGTGGGGGGGGGGGGAAGTGGGAAGGGCCTGAATACTAGCGTTTCAATAGGTGACCTGGTTGGCCGTCGGTGCTGGTAGAAGGGATGTGTTTTGTTTTTGTTCCTCTTGCTGTTCTCACAGGTTCCGCGCAGCGCAAGCACAGGGACCTGTGGGAACCTCTGGGACCTGGACACGGATGGTTCACGCACTCGGCCTGAAACGCGACGACCAATCCAACAAACACAGGCGTGGAGTCGAGGACGGCCTCCAGTCGTACCGAACTCGTTTCGAAGGTGGAACTGTGGTGGGTGCCCAAACGTCGGGTCCAGTCATACCGAACCTGAGGAGGTACGACGTGAAGCAACCATGGGGAACATGAGGAAGCCGCGTGTTTTTAGACGACACATGGCTGTGGGGCACAACCCGGAGCCCAAATCAAAACCATGGTAGAAACACTACTGTTCATATCTGTTCATGTTCCGTGGTCAACCAGGGTTTCCTGGTTTTGACCCACAGCCATATAGGGAGACCTCCCAGGCGTTCCGACCTCCTGGAAGAAGCAAAGTGTAGACTCGACCCATTGGGCATGTCATTTGGCCGGGCTTCCTAACTTAAATACAGTCCCATGACCTGGTTTTGCTCAAGGTGATGTCTATTTTCCCTATGGCCCCTATGGGTTCATCCTTTTCTCATTGTTTTTACTTTGTCCAGGTTCCTTAAGCAAATCCAAGATGATCGATTTTAGAATGTATAGCATTCAACCTGCCAGCCATACACGTCAATCCCGTAAATAAGCAAGATAAAACAAGCTTTTGGCGCCAAAGCTCAAAGCTGTCTAGAGGGGAGCGCCCTGCCGGATCCTGCCAGTGACCAGTTGTGACTTTTTTGAAATGTCTTTTTTGTGGCACATCGAGTTGCCGGTGTCCTTTGTGCATTGACTGGCAGATTTGGCAAGAATGCCCAAAGGGGCAGAGGGAGTGGAGACATGTCGACCAGCAAGTTTTTGTATGAACGTATAAATATAGTGCCTATTTGAAAGTGGTTTCGTTCATAGGATTGACTGTTCATAGTTTTCTATCGTAGTCAGTGCCAAAAGCTGTGTTTATCCACAAAAAGGATTAGTATGCTCAGCTGTTGCACTATATTTCCGTATCGGATGGGTGCCCAGCAGTCCGTTGGAAGCACATGTTTTTCCATGATCGAGTCACTGGCACAGAACCTGACGAAGTTGGCTTTCGGAGTATCAAGGTTCAAGAAACGACTTGGACCCTATGAAGTTCAATTTTAACAAATTGATGGGGGATGACATGACCCTACATGACCCTTAAGAGTAGGGACTTGGAGACATTGCTTGGACCTATGTGGATTCCTTACAGACCTGGAGTCAACCCGTTCGTAGCTCAGAACATGGCTCCAAGCATATTACCTCCCTAGGGATCCAAGTAACTTCTGAGAAGGTTTGGAGGTCCAGTCCCTAGGGCATATTACCTGTACCCAAACACTCCATGGGACTGGCATGTTTACCTACATTGACCCCTTTTCAACAGCCTCAATGTATGGGTTCATATGCCAGTCCCAAACAGGTCGTGTTTGGGATATGACCTGTTTCCTCAACACATTGATGGGGGTCATGTCCCACTTACGGAACCGAACGGTCCGTCGACGTCCTCGACGTCTTCGACGTCCTGGGGGGTTCGGTCACCGAAGACCAACGATGCCCAACAAGTGCAGCGAGTGCAAGGTTGGGCGTTGAACCGGGCGCTGAAGGGCTTTGATGAAGGGTTTCTTTTGATTGCCCTGATGGACGTGACGTCAAATTCATTCCAAAGTTGGAGTACTTACAACTCGGAAGAATGATGGTTACGTGGTTGGCACCACCTGTTTGGTATTCCGAAAGTGGTCGTTCATCTCTTCTCCTCTCCGTGTGGGTCTGGCGAACTCCGCTGTTGGCGAATCAGCCGACCCATCCGACTCTGCAACGGACGACGCGACACCGGCGCTCGTCGGTGTCGCGCGCTTCTGCGCGGCGCCGCGCATTTGGACGTGGCGTCGCCCGCGCCGCGCGCGAAGGTGCGGCGCTCCTCAAGGGGTCTCGTCGCCTGGAGCGAAAGCAGAGAGTATGGCATATGGCGCTCGTGGAAAGAAGTCGTCGCTTCTTCGGGAAGGTGTCGCGGACGTGTCGCTTCTTCCGGTTCTTTGTTGATGTTTGTGGAGCAAAACTCTGAGATGTGAACGGTGAGAATTATATATAGCACTCAATGAGATGGTTGTAGGTGGGTTCAGCAGGAGAATGTTCCCTTTGAGGAGTCAATTACATCTAATTGCCATGGAAGAAGTGAAGCACTACACATGCCACATGCAGTACAGCTGGGTCACCACCTGACATCACCGGCTGGGGCTTTCCGAACGGTTTCACCGTTCACGTGGACGAAAGACCAGGCAGTTGGACGAATCAAGCGTCGGTTTCATCGCAGTTTGCCACGGCACGGCTTGTAAGAACAAACAAGAGTCGCACCCTGCGTCCGGTAGCTCACTTCACTGGCAGCCAGATGTTCAGCTCACATTTGCAGCTTTTTTTTGCTAGGATTTGCATGATGTTTGTTATGTGTTTATGTGTTCTTGAAGTTTATTCTTTCTCGGAAAGCTAGTGGATTCACATTCACATCAGATCAAAGCCTTGATCCGTAACCAATCCATTGAGGATCATTCAGGGACAAACACCTCCTTCACATCCCCCATTCTGAGCAGGTATGGCATGTTTGTGAATCCTGAGGAGGATTACATTACATCGGATCTTTCTTTTTGTTTGGCCAGTTGTGACCGTATCATTCGTTCAATATTCGTTTCTACTTAAGTCGCATAGGGCGTAGGTTCTCCGGGGTTTGACTTGCTGTGCTGGGTGTTGTGCTTCTTCAGTGGAGATATATAATCATTTTTTTGGAGATCCACCTGAATGTGTTGGATACATTGTAGAACCAACACTGGTTTTGCAGCCTTGAGATTCTGACATATTCTGGTCATGGCTCAAGCCAGCAACTCTTGCTGAATCTCACTGATGCAGGTCACAGCTTTATCCGGGACAACAGTTGCCCAGCTTGATGAGGATGAGTACCTTGACATGGTGGAAAGTGGGAAATCCATCCGTGATCTAAAGCAACTCCTCTCCACTCAGGTTGGGTGCTCCAGGTTTCAGCAAAGACTCTTCAGTGACGAATCGGGCGAACTGCAGGATGACATGCCCTTAAAACCACTACCATCTATACAGCTGGTAGTCCTGCCTATTTGTGCTTCTGATCCGATTTCCGAGCAAGAACTGCTTCTCACTTGTCAAGAAAACAGAGTCATTGATGTTGAAAGACTGCTTCAAAAACCACAGGACCCAAATGGGGGAGGTTTGTTCGGTTTGTTCGTTGCGGCCCACAATGGCCACGTGGAAGTTGTGCGGCTGTTGCTTGAGGCTGGAGCCACTCAGCAAACAACAAAACAAATGGGGCAACGGCTTTGATGATTGCCGCTGAGAGTGGCCACTTGG